GTTGTGACGGGGATTCGAATCCGCGACCCTCGGAGTGCGAGTCGAGCGCCCTAACTACCTGGCCATGCCGGGCCCTCACATTTTATTCTGGGGGAGATTAACATTTTATTCTCAGGGGTGGGGAGAATTGAGGATCCCTTCGACCCCATCCGATACTCCATTGAGATTACAAGAAATTTCAAATGCACTCATAGCTTTCTGAGTAGAATTGTGTTTGTCTGAGTGGTGTCCGTTTAGTAGAACTGTGTTTGTATGAGTGGTGTCCGTTTAGTAGAACTGTGTTTGTCTGAGTGGTGTCCGTTTGATAGAATTGTGTTTGTATGAGTGGTGTCCGTTTAGTAGAACTGTGTTTGTCTGAGTGGTGTCCGTTTGATAGAATTGTTTTTGTATGAGTGGTGTCCGTTTAGTAGAACTGTGTTTGTCTGAGTGGTGTCCGTTTGATAGAATTGTGTTTGTCTGAGTGGTGTCCGTTTAGTAGAATTGTGTTTGTCTGAGTGGTGTCCGTTTGATAGAATTGTGTTTGTCTGAGTGGTGTCCGTTTACTGCATTGTCGATTTCCATTCTTTGTCATTCCAGGATAAATCACCCGAAACCTGTTTTGTTTTATTTTCCTGGTACCTCGCAAGGTGCTGGATTAAACTGAGTAAGCGACCACCAGCAAATTGAAAGCGCTTTTCATTCACTAGGATTTATTATTTATCATCACCACAAGAGGAATAATATCTATGTATTTCAACTGTAAATAAATGTGAAATTCATAGGAATTTTGTTAACAGTGTGCAGATCGATAAGATACAAAAATTCCTCGGAAAATTTATGAAATATAGTTATATAACTGAAATGGTAGTCTCCGAGACGTTTGTAAAAAAATAAAAAAATGATAAAACTAGATTTTTCGTTGAAGAAATTGCTATTTTTGGATTTTCTCTGAAGAACCTCTTTTATAAAACTTCAAAACAAACCATAATGTATTGCGAGTTAAAAAAAAGACAATGTATTGAAAGACATAGAATACGTTTGCGATTTGAACAGTGGATGATAAAATTTATAGACTTATCACCTAGTTAGTTCGGTACGAAGTCGTTTTGATGGAATGGGCTTTAATTCTATCTCATACCAAACTATATAATATGGTTACAGGAATGTTAATGTTATTTTAATGTCATGTGTTTTCTGATGATCTTTTTACATGTGTTGTGCTATGTCAAACTTGTTCTTACGTACTTGAGATGTTTACTATAAAATCATCAACCCAACACCTCAATTCTTGTAGGACGTTGGTTGACCCTATCGTGGAATCCAACACCTCTATTTTTGTAGGATGTGGGTTGACCATATGGTGGAATCCAACACCTCTATTCTTGTAGGATGTGGGTTGACACTATCGTGGAACCCAACACCTCAATTCTTGTAGGACGTTGGTTGACCCTATGGTGGAATCCAACACCTCTATTTTTGTAGGATGTGGGTTGACCATATGGTGGAATCCAACACCTCTATTCTTGTAGGATGTGGGTTGACACTATCGTGGAACCCAACACCTCTATTCTTGTAAGACGTTGGTTGACCCTCTGGTGGAACCCAACACCTATATTATTGTAATACGTGGGTTGATCTTATGGAAGAGCTACGGATTTCGCAGCTTGCAAGCCTGGTTCAATTCCGTGCGATACCACAAAATAATTTTTTTACATTTTCAGCTGTGATTGCGTTGTAAGAGTGACAGTCAATCTCTTAGCGTGAATGGTGGATGGTAGGTTGCTGCTGACTAGCTGCCTTTCTTCTGGTCAGTAGTTCAAAATTGAAGACGGCAACAGATAGTGTCAGAAGCTTTGTTATAAATACCAAATAGAAATAGTAGTCTTGCAGTTTGAAGCTTGCCCTGGGATATTGACATATAGTGATCCAGACAGTATACTGGTAATCTTTAAGAGGCGTATGCAGAGTCTAGCGATGTTTTATTTAAATAATATTTTTTCTTTATAATTGGTCAAAAAAACGTTTTGACAAATTTCAAGCTATTCTTATGCCACTAACAAAGATCCCACGTTTGTGTGGCTGTAACAAGTAAAACAAAGAATCGTTTGAAAATGAGCTCCCTCTAGCTGGAATCTGTCAAAACTTGACAAAAAAAAAGCATGCAATATTATTCCTTGTTGAGTTACAAAATAGCATGTCCATTTGGAGGTGAATAAACATCTCATACCATTCCAATACCATACCAAACCTCAACATTCCATTATATTGACTTTCCTATCTGCCTATCTAATCAACAAACCTTATTTCAATGAATCTCTAATACCAAAGACAGGTTAAAAACTCGTTACAAATACAATAACCGCTTAATAACTTCTTCGTTGTTTCTTACTCAAATAACTGTATAAATATTTTCGTGTCTCAGTATTAGAAAAAAATAAGATTTATCACGTATAAGAAAACCTAACAGCGGAAACAATCACTTTAAGTGTAGTTTCATTTTTGTTTCCATTCAAAAGCCAGCAAATCTAGGACTAAACGATAAGGAAAAAAAGCATACTCTGTTTCATACAGTTACTTGTATACTAGAAGTAATTATTACTTTCAGTTTTCCAAACGGTGTTTTTACTCAATATTTACCCTTGAGTATTCGAACTATATCTGATAGTGTGATTACTTATTAAACCATAGCTTGCCTTGAAATGGGCATTACTATTAACGAAACAGTGAGAAAATCAAAGAGAACTCTATTTTAACTGTGTACAAGTAGTTCATTTCTCATTTTTCCCTGCATTTAATTCTGTTATTAAAATATCGGTTTATTAGAAAATTCAACCGGTTTTGGCCTTATCAAAATAATGAATAAACAAATAATATAAAAATAGTCACTTTCCTTCAAACATCACTGAAATGTTAAAACTTTATTAAATATTTTATCCTATATGTAAATCTTAATATGCAAGGAAATATAATGCAATTTTTTTTTTAATTCTGATAATCAGTTGAGTATTTCTTACACTACATAATCTATAGCTGTTAGCAAGCAAGTGGCAGACGATGTAAGCAGAGCCCTGAAGACTTAATTTTAAGATATAAAACAAAACTTAACTACAGATATTTGAATGCATTATTAACTTCATTAAAATGAAATAATTCATTTCCAGGTAAGATACAATACAGGAAGTATTAATACCTTGCTTAAATCAATGTTAAGCGAAGATGTGGTTTTATTAAGCAGTATTACACATTTTCTTTCTAGTTCTCTATAGACTATGAGAGCAATAGCGGTGACATCAGTGCTGATAAAAGGAAACAACAGAGCAGCAACAACAACAACAACAAAAAAAAAAGGTTAGTGCTGATACAGACTGGTTGTAAAGCAACGGTGCGAGAGCTAACAAAAAAGTTGTCAACCTTTAGCGGTTGTGTCCATCGTGGATGGGGCTCGTCGTCTATGTACAGGTGCAGTCGGGACGAACCGACGAAGAAACGTAACTCGTCTCAATACTAAGAGGGAAAAAAACAGCAACTCACTGGACAACGTTAACGATATAATAAATGAACTGTTTGAAAACAGGGTAAGTTTTCCCCAGGCTCTCGTTCACACGTCAAAGTGTTGATCTATCAAATAGACTATTTAACTCGAAAAATAATCAACAACACAGGTAGATTAATTCTTAAAAGTGAAGGATATATTAATATTTTTAGTGTGAGATAAGTGCCATATAATGGTAAGAATGTAATATATATATATAATAACTGTTCAATGTGGTCCATAAATCTAGAATTTATTCAATTTTTATAGGTGTTAAACTTACGCAGTCGGGGCTCCTGAAGAGGGGACTCGACTTCTAGTTGTTCATCCCGATATGGAGCATCTGTGACATCTTCAAAATTCATGATGTACATACATATAACTCCTTCTTCATTCCGAATTGGCGCCATCACTTGACTGCACAAAACCTTTGAGCCTGGACCAGTGAATAAATGACACGTGGTATCAGAATAATGGTAACTATGACACCAGTCGTATAAAAACTGCACGTAACCTGAAACTTACACGTGTGTTTGTGACTAAACTTATGTTGCTATAATCTAGTTTGACATAGTTTGTGCTTTCTTCGTTGATAAACGTTTTTTACAGTTAAAATAAACTCGAGCTCTACAAAGCCCACTCGAAAAATTAAACGCTACGAGTACATAGCTATCACCTTTTTCAAGTAGGTAAATAAAGTTTAACAATTTGATGCTTAATTCGAGTTTAATAAAAAAAATTCATTTGCGAGTGCAAAATTTACTAGTGAAAATTGAATCGGAAACTTTACTCCACATGTGAAATATGAAACAGTCAAAAGCGATATAATTTTATCTGAATAACTTTCATTATATCAGTACTTTTTTGAATCGTAAACTATACCATCTGAAAAAGTATATCTCCTGATTTCTGTTTTTGCTATATTATTCTTAGTTATAACATTAGTTTCTGCTACCTAAGAGAAAAATCAGAATTAAAAATTTACACAAGTCTTTAACACGCTTAAGTTATTTCAGGCTTACATACACCAGATGAGAACAAGAACATATTATTAATATAAATCCAAATATACAGAAAAAAATGTCAATAAGTTATTACGCATTCAAATGGGAACTAACTTACCTTTGATAAGTTTTTTATAATTCTTTGGAAGTTGGTCCTAATCTGCTCAATGATTGCCAAGCATAGTTTGCGTATAGATTAAAACTAACAAAGAACATTTTACATCATTCAAACAAAACACTAACTGAGAATAAAAACTAACTACTGGTATTTAAAACCAAGATGATTAGAAATAAAAATGAGTTTCTGTTCACAACTAACTATACAAAATAGAGGAGGGGAGAACTAGGATTCTGTAGACAAATAGAAAGTGAAAAATAAAAGGCAGGGATTAGGTGAGTAAATATTACCAGTTCTGGGAATCCTGCATGACCGTTATAGTCATGACCACCCAACATGTTATAACATGTTGATAAATATTTGGATAAAACGGTGTTAACACAGTAACATATACCATTGTCACAGTTGAGAGTGAATATATTGATAAAAACGGAAACTAACCACACATAACTTTGTAGTTTCATGTTCCATTCTAATGAAGAGTTAGAAAAAAAGAGTAAAACTAATTATTGGAATATTCAAAATTCTTCGCATCTCAACATGAACATCATCTTCACGCTCCATTAACACCAAATCGGTTGTTTGTCCACGTGGTAACATAATCGTGTAGTTTAGTTTTCGAAGAATAATTTAGACCTGTTAAAAATTTGTTTGTTTTTTTACTTTCTTTGAAGCAATTATCTGTTTTTAAATACAATGTTCTGAAACTATCCAGATATTGATATTGTTAAGTTTGTTAACGTTTACGGTGATAATCAAATTAATATTAACAATGTAAACTCCTGTAAAAAATAAAATCAATCTTGAGATATATATATAGTACTGAGACGTAAGTTAGAAATAGGCTTTAAAATAGGGTAAAAAAATTAAGTAACTATTTGATTTATAGGAAAATAATAAAGTAGCCGGTATAAACTCTAAGTCTTAATTTCTTAGAACAGTTAAAGTACTTATTAACTTTTTTTTTTCAACCATTAGGGAAAATTAAGGAGTATGTAATAATGGTATGTATTGTTGTAAGATCTAAAATATTAGATGATAAAAAAAAGGAAATCTACTCAGACAAAGACAAAAACGTAATGCGTTGACAAGTCAGTATATAGATTTTCTGAATTTACTGCAACTGTTACTTTTTGAGTCAAACATCATATGAAGGCATATATTTTCTTATTTTGTTGCTGGAGTAGACATATATATTGTAACCAATTCCAATAAAGCGAATATCGTAAGTGAACATGTGGGGTGTTATCGTAGTATAGCTAAAAAGACCAGAACAAAAGAAAATGAAGCAATGTAGAGAAGAACACCCAAGAGTAATAACTTTCCTCATAAATTCTCAAAAATGGTGTACAGTAAAAGTATAGTTGCCGCATCACCAAAGATTTCGTAAATATAATCTATCTAAAAGCTCTGACGTAATTCATTTCCAGGCAAACCAAATATTCTAACTACTCTACAAAACTCCGAAATAATCCAAATCCAGTTTCAGTATTAATTGTTCCAACAAAAAAAAATGTAAAATTATCGATAAGTTAGGGGAAAATGTATTTTGGGCTTTTTTGTTGCACCTAATTGTACGAAACAACACACAGTTTCATAACAAAGAGTAGTATTGTTTGCTGCACTTAATTGTACGAAACAACACACAGTTTCATAACAAAGAGTAGTATTGTTTGTTGCACTTGATTGTGCAAACCAACACACAGTTTCATAGCAACGAGTAGTAGTATTTGTTGCACTTAATTGTACAAAACAACACAGTTTTATAACAAAAAGTAGCATTGTTTGTTGCACTTAATTGTACGAAACAACACACAGTTTCATAACAAAGAGTAGTATTGTTTGTTGCACTTAATTGTACAAAACAACACACAGTTTCATAACAAAGAGTAGTAGTATTTGTTGCACTTAATTGTGCAAAACAACACATAGTTTCATTACAAAAAGTAGCATTGTTTGTTGCACTTAATTGTACGAAACAACTCACAGATTCATAACAAAGAGTAGTATTGTTTGTTGCACTTCAGAAAATCTTAAAAGAAGTTGCCAGCTTAAGTGAGACCGGTCCGTCTTTAAAACGAAATTATATAAGTCTGAACAGAACAGTAGAGACCATAAGTAATATCCAAACCAAGGTAACACTAGACTTGAATTGGAAAGATGAGACCAAAAATAATCTCAAATCATAGAATCTGGGAATATATATATATATATACCAGATTTTGACATTTATATCCAGACAGAACTATTTACCTTGATTTATATTATATTTTCATAAAATATTAAAAAAATTATTTTCACCCATTATTAAGCAATTTACGTAACTACTTTCGTTTCGTATTGTTACAAACTGAAAACTTAACTTTTATCATTTGCGAGTAAAACACGTATAAGAGAAAATATAAAATATAAGTTGAATATTCAGCTTCGGAGAGAAATCAAGGAAAAGTGAATAGAGAAAAAAAAAGAAGATGAAAAAAATGCATATGTGGAATTAGAATACGGAGAACTCAAATAACAAGCATAATAAGCAGAAAGAAAGGAAAAGAAAGTGGATCAAACAAACAATTCAGACAGATGGCAGCAGTAAAGGTGACAGCGTGAAAAGGGCAAAGATCCCGTGAGGCAGAGAAAATAAGAGGCAATAATATGGAGAACTGTTATTTTGGGAAGAAAAATTACGTCCAATAAGGAAGAAGAAAAGTAATAGGTCTAGAAAAATAGGTATTTAAAACACTTAACTGACACGAACCTAAAGAAATAGAGTATTAAATGTGTCAGAAAACTCGTAGACCTTGGTTAAATAAACACATGCTTCAAGTTAGGGTCATGACGTGAAACCTTAATTGGTTGATTTCTATGTTAGCTGCATAATAACGAATAAAGTTGTTTTTGTTTTGTTTTTGAAGTTAAGCACAAAAAAGCTACACAATGGGCTATCTGTGCTCTGCCCACCACGGGTATCGAAACCCGGTTTCTAGCGTCGTAAGTCCGCACACATACCGCTGTGCCACTGGGGGGCAACGAATAAAGAGCCTGCTTATATGATAAAGTTATTTTATGCAATGTAACTGACGACAAAGAAAAGACGAGAATTTGTAACTGACGATATTTTTTATTTCACGTTTTACTTAAGATATGACTTTTAAAACATTAGGTGAGGAAGTCAAAGAACCTTAGAACAAGCATAACGGAAACGTAGCACCAGGTTCACAAAAAATTATAAATATATTGAAATCGATCCAGACGCTCGAATACTCTTGAAGAGTGGACTTTTCTTTTTCAGAAACGTTAAGATAGATTTCACTGGATCTAACTTTGGTTTCTGTAGGCCCAATCTTAAATTAATTTGATTAGCTATCATTACCTATACTATATTTTGTCAAATTTAAGCCTGTGTAACAAGGAAACGACGCCTTTATTTCGCTCCATTCGGATTGATGTTAACTGAGGATAATAACCTTTTTTCCACGTGCATTTTATCGATACTAGTAAAAAGGGTACAAGCTCAGAACCTTCTAGAAGGAGGATCTAAGAAAAGAAACTTAATCAATTCTGCTACCTAATTTTTGAAATTAGTAATATGCTTTTAATTTCTAATGTTCAAATTAAATATAATTTATTTTTTATCATGAATAAATTATAATAAGGAAAGAAAACTCCACGACTAATGATTTTATTTCAGTAAACATTTTCCAGTAATAATATTTTGTCAAGCTCTGTTTTATATGACGTTATTTTCAAGCTACAAATAGCGAAAACTTCGCAAAAATATATTGTAACAGCTATTATATTAATATGCTTCAGAACCTAGAAATACAAACATTATCAACTAGTGTAAATAAAAAAGTACGTTAAAATATAAGTATTTTATACGAAGTTGTATATAAGATAAATAAAAAGTAAAATAGAACAGTTCATATGCTGAACAGATAAAGTACATTTAGAATTTTTGTCCAACTGTAATTAAAATGGACCATGCTAAAACACCGATCCACCGGCTTTGAGCACGTCTTAGATAGTGACATTCTATTTCAGAAAACTACGACAAACTATGTGTAACTGAACACAATATGTAGAACGTAATTACGTGCTTTAACATGAGGAGAGATTGAATGTTAACCTAATAAAAATAAGTTGATTTTTTTTCCCTTAAATCATTTCCAGCTTTCCATTTCATCCACCCATTTCTCTGGTCTTAGTAATTAAAGCGATGTATAACGATTAAAAAACATCCCCTTATAAGAGCCTTAGAGCATAGGAATGTCTTTCATGCAAACCCAGTCTTTAATAGAACTATATTAACATGGAAAA